AATTGGTCTCCTGGTGGCGTAGTGCCTAAGGCACTTGACTGCTAACCAGAAGGCTGGTGGTTGAAACCCACCAGCCATTCCTCGGAAGGAAGGTTGGGTAATCTACTTCTGTAGTGATACCACCTCAGAAACCCAAGGAGGGGTCACTATGAGTCGGATCCAACTCGACAGCAGTGAGTTTGGAGTTTGGTTTTTATGTGGAATCACTTTAGAAAACAACTGACAGCCTTTGCGCTCTGGTGGCGCAGTGGTTAAAGCATTGGGCTGCTAACTGAAAAGTCGGTGGTTTGAATCCACCAGCCACTCTGTGGGAGAAAAATGAGGTAATTTGCTTTCGTCAAGATTGACAGCCTTGGAGACCCTCTGGGCAGTTCCCTCTGGGCAGTTCCACTCTGTCCTGTAGGGGCGCTGTGAGTTGGAATCAACTCCACAGCAGTGGTTTGGTTAGGACTTTTCTTCTGTAGAGATTGACAGCCTTGGAAACCCTATGGGGCAGTTCCATTCTGTCCTATAGGGTCACTGAGTTGGAATGGACTCAATGGCAGTGGGTTTTTTTTGTTGTTGTTGTTATTGTTGTTTTTGTTTTTGCTATGAAATGAAGGTATTATTAAGCTAATTGCCAATTCTGATTCAAGGTGACCCCACGTGTGTCAGTGGATTAATAGTACAGGGTTCTCAGTGGCTGGTTTTTCCGAAGTAGATCACCAGGCCTTACTTCTGAGACACCCCTGGGTGGACCTGAACCACCAACCTTTTGGTAAGTGGCCAAGCTCGAAAGGATGTGAGAGGGAAGTGGTCCCTGCCCCAGAGCATCAGCCTCACCTAGGAAATTTCTCCAGCTCTCCACACTCAAGAGAGTCAGGAACTGGGGGTGGGGTCTGCAATCAGTGTTAACAAGCCCTTTGGGTAATGCTGACTTACCCAGTTGGGGAAACCAAGAGGGGCAGTGAGGTGGAGGCAAGCAGCAAGATGCTAAATGCTGCGCTAATGCGGGACTCCAGCTGAACAAGGTCAAATCGTACTTTCCAAAAAGTCAGATGAAGCAGGAAATCATAAAATGATTACATGTTAAGTTTTAACTTGGAACCCATAAATGCATGCTCATTGGCTAAGGGCAGTACTCCTTCGTCTTTCTTACATAAACCATATCTATATGCCATCTGACGATTCCAGCTCCTGTGTCCTGCCAGCAAACTTCAGAATCTGTACAACCCTGAGTGAAGAATTAGTCTGGATTCTGACAGTATTTTCCTAACCCTTTACAATTTCATGGCCATTGTTTTAGTAATTGTCCTTTAAATCCTTCCAACCAATTCATTCCTATTTATAGACTTGTGTGTGCATTTGCATGGCCTTGCCTTTTGTTTTGCTTACTTCGTTAGGCTGCTGGCTCTTAGGAAGCTGAGGACTTGGTTGGTGGGCACAGGTCTGCTAGCTGTGGGGTCAGGTTTTCTCACAGCTTTTTTCAGATATAATGCACACACCGTGTGACTCAACCATTGAAAGTGTAAGTTCATTAGCTGTGAGTGCAGTCACAGATTGTGTACCCGGGAGTGATCACTAGCTAACTGGGGCCATTTTCATCTCCCCAAAATGGATTAGCAGCCCCTCCCCACCCCCTGCCCCCAGCCCCCCACAACCACTGGCCAGCTTTCTGTCTGGATTTGCCTGGACTGGACATTTCACAGAAATGGAATCATACAGTACGTGGTTCTTTGACTCTGTGTGACGTCTTTGAGGTCCATGCACGTAGCACGGATCAGTTCTTCATTCCTCTTTATTGGCCAAACAACATTCTACTGCAGGGAGCTTTATATACCAGTTGCCCGCATCCTTTTCAACTCACGGCAGTCGCACGTGTATTAGACTAGCAGTGTGCTCCATAGGGTTGTTAATGGCTGATTTTTCAAGGCCTTTCTTCCAACGTGCCCCTGGGTGGACTTGACCCTCCCTTTCAGTTAGCGGCCCAGAGCACGAACCATTTGGACCACCTAGGGGCTCCAAAAGCAGGACCAGACTCTGCTGTTCCTGCACTAAGCAGGTTCTTCTGGGGGGCAGTGAGGGCAGAGAGAGGATGCGAGGCTGTGTATGACGTCTCAGCCCTCTGTGGCTTGCTTCCCGTGCCTCAGAAGCCCCCTTGTCATTGACCGTGATGAGGTGGCGTGAGCTCACATTGACCGTGCGCAGGCCCTGTGTGCCTTTCCCTGCACCGTCATGGTAGCTAGACAACTGTGAATGCCTGGCTCTAATGTTCTCACGTTACAGCGGGCAAGGCCGAGGCCCAGAGACGAAGATCATGCGCAGTGCAGGACAGGCCGTCTGCCCCCAGGGCCTGCTTTCTCCATCGGCCCACCCACTGCCTCAAGCTCAGGGAGAGAAAAACTGGTCGGCATCACCGTGCAGATGGCTCCTGCTGAGGTGAGTGGACCCTCGCGCTCCTACCTTCAGAAAGACCTATTGAGGAGTCAGTCCCGCAATGGCTAACCAGCTCCGCTCGGGACCAGAGGTGATCTCGTACCTCATCCCCACGAACCCGCTCGTTCAGTCAGAATTCCAGCACCTGCCACCATTTCTCTCACAGCCCATCCTCCCCGAGGGTATGCTTTTGCACGTGTGACCCAGTGTGATGCCCAAAATGTGCGTATGCAAACACTGAACGGACGTCAGCTAGTGAACCAACAGGAGTACTAAATGCGCCCCACCTTGCCTGCTAGTACTGTCAGGGTGCGGGAATCTCTTCTCGCTCTGAAGGGTGACTTCCAGAGATACTTATTTTATTTAAAACTCTAGAGACTATCAAAAATGAGTTTCAAGTTATAAATGGGATCACCTATCAGGGCAGAGCAGCACTCACCCCTGGACATGATCAAGTGTCATCTCCACACAGCGGCCCTGAACAGCCAGTTGGCTCTAACCTTGGCCGGCAGTGCGGAAAGGGTGTGGAAGTAGCATTAGTCATGTCAGCAAGTTCCCCTGACAAGTGAGCAGTTGTTTCTCTCCAGAAATGCCACAGCCCTGAGAGTGGGGTGAATCCTTGTCCACGGCTTCATTTCAGGTCCCGTTCTGATGCTTTCTCACCCCCAGTAACCCTTTATCCTAGGCTTACCCAATAGCACTCAGGACCAAAAGAGCCCGGTAGTTGTTATTTTCCTCCAGAGTCTGAAAATCTGTGATGAGCAGGTGAGAAAACAGCTGTCTCGAGTCACTCCTGAAAGATTTTTCAAAGCCTGTGACTGTCAGCTTTAAAATATACAAACATTTTGAAATGTTGAAGTGTTCAAGGTTGTTGGTTTTTTTTTTTTTAAAACTCCACACAGCAAAACCGACACCACAAAGAAATCCATACCAGATTAACTGCTCACGTACTGTCAATCCCATCCACAAATTTCACACTACAGTGCTCTGGATAAATTAAAGGATTTAATAGTATGAACACACACACCCACACACACACACACAAAAACAAGTCTTTATGTAACATACTGCTAGAACTAAACAACCAGTTTATGACTTGTCTAAGGAATTTCAACAGCAAATTCAGAACTTCCATAAAAAAAGTGATCTGCTACTGTGTGTTAATTCAAACATTCTACATCTGAAAAATAATCTTTTCTTGAATTCCAACACTCAAATACAACCAAATATGCAATCAAGCATAATCAACATTTAGAGTGGGCACCATCACCAGCAATGCAACTTGAACCAGGCTTTCAAGGGCTGAGAGTATGTTGGCCAGAAGGATGACTTCAGACAAAATGAACAGGACAAGTTGGGTCAACAAATACCAGGGACAATGATGAGACCTGTTCGTTTCCAGCAGAATTATGTACTAGAACAGGAGCTACCTAGAAAATATTTTGTAAGTTTAGATACATACTTCAAAGTATGATCAAATCATGTTGTTGTTGTTGTTGTTATGTGCCGTCGAGTTGGCCCCGGCTCATAGCGACCCCTCCTTGGGTTTCCGAGGCAGTATCACTACGGAAGTAGGATTGCCCAACCTTCCTTCCGAGGAGTGGCTAGTGGATTTGAACCGCCAGCCTTCTGGTTAGCAGTCAAGTGCTTTAGCCACTATGCTACCAATCATGGTGTAGTTAAAACTACAGGTAGCCTCTGACTTACAACGTATTCTAGTTATGAAGAACCACACTCAGAACTGTCTTTTACATACTATGTACTATGCAGTGCTATGTACTATGCACTCTGTACCATGTACTACTATGTACTTCAACGTTATGTTCACCGTTATGATTTACAAAGACACTGATAATAAAAGGCAATAATAATGAAAACAAAAAACAAAATGAGCTATTCAACTTATGTCAGAACCAACTTACAACAGATCTGTTGGAACAGAACCCCATTGTAAGTCGGGGACTACCTGTATTCTAGAACAAGGTCCAATCTAAAATTTTCATTTAAATGAGAATTTCAAGATCCAAACCTTGCCTTAGTTTTGCTGAGTACATTTCTAGTGTATACTGTTATGCATATCATATAAATACATGTATATTGTAGGGACTTTAGAAATACTGCTTAGCTTTTTTAAAAAATACAAGCACTTAGGTATAATGAGCAGTTTTAGTGAAAGTACTGGACAAGGTAACACCTCTTGAGCATCCAAATGACTTTCAGTGCTGACATATCAAGTACTCATGAGAAAATGGTAAGGACAGAAAAACCAGCTTTCTTCAAATTTTAAGGAAAGTTCTCTTTCCGAGGTTGTTCAGACCTTTCTAGATTTAAATACACAGGCACACTGCAGTTACAGGAAGAACTGAGTGGCTGCTATTTAAGCTGAATGGGAAGAAAATGTAAAAGGATCTTCTATAAAGTGTAATTCAGAAGAGGGTGATCCTTCCCTAAGTGAAGTGGCAAGAGTGATTACGGGCTCAAAGCACCCATCACATCATGAATGCAACTCAGTTCGGGGAAAAAGAGTTTAATATCTCTCCCAGAAAAAAACAGTTTCTATATTTCCATCTCAGACAACACAGTGGTTATGAAGTCCAGCGCCACCAGGTGACCTTCATCCTGTCCCACACTGCTGAGAGGGAATCCAGGGCAGGACGCACGTCCAAGACGGTGAACTGGTAGTTCTTGTCTACCTCGCCACCATCGTAGTAGTCGATGACGTACCTCACCTCTGTCCCACAGCGGTTGACGATCCAGTCATGTCTGTCAAAGGGTAACTCATACCTGGAAGGCAATCACGCCAGGGAGCGTTAAAGTGCTTCCTACGCACTCAGTCCTGCTCAAAGAAGAAAGATCCCGAAGAGTACATGCACGTGCGTGTCCTGGGAGTCAGACATCCATCTAACTGGGGACATGGGACACAGTGCTGAATGATGTAATGACTTCACCTCAGATGGCAGCTCGTCTGCCAGCAAAGGAATCAGTCAATGCGAAAGGGACGCCGGTCAGGGATGTCAGTTGAGACACTGCAGAAGTCCAGATGGGACTTGAACATCTCAACTACTCTAGGGAGAAAAGGGAGCAGCAATGCTACATGAATAGATCCCAAGAGATCGATCATGGGAGGAGTAGGAGGACAGATCCAAGAAAACAGAAGATGGCTCATTTCACTTCTACAGTAAGCAGCTAGGAAGCAACCCACTAAAGCCTAAGAAACCTGCCAATCAACGGGAGCAGCAGAAGTCTCCATTGCTTAGGACCTACGCAGGGCGCCAGGAGAAGAAATCAGTGCCGACAGCCACTGATTACGCTTTGGAAGGTGGCGCTGTGGGTACTTGGGTTTTTGGGTGCATCACAGGTTTTTTTAATTTTTTTCCTTGACACCATAGTTTTCAGATTACTCACTTCCAGTAGTAAGAGAATGTTTCTCCTGATGTGAGGAAGGGACAAAAAAAATTTGCCCTGGTACTCACCCCATCCAGGAACGGAGTCTTGCCCTCGGTGAGTACTCTTTGGCTTTACCCCCAAACCGGATCAGGGACGGACCACAAGGACATTCCCTAGAAATCCCCAGATAAGAAAAGTCTGTTAAAATATCTTCTTGCCTTTGAAGATGATGTTCCAGTTTCTCACCGGTACATTTTTCTGTATGTGCTTTACACAAGACCATGTTATAGACAACGGTGACTGTAAAGGTACAATCCAAACAAATATTCCCTCTCTGTGAAGAACATTCCCCTTTATTTCCAGAGAGGCGTCTTTGGAGGACTTCTGCCACCATTGCTGAGGTCACCCTTGGCCACTGAGTCTTTGCAGCTGAGGCCCCAGAGCTGGTGAAGCTGACTGCCCGGCCCATAGCATCCACCGGCATCACGAAGTGTTGCTGTTGGACGCGACTCAGTGGGTCGTCTGATCCCTAAAATGCCACACAGCGTGCTTTACCGGAATAACAAATCATCCGAATAAAGTGTGGAAACGCTGGAAGACTGGTTTGAAACAGGAAAGTTACCAGAAAGGCTCGTTTTAGGATCTCAAGCACTTACGTAGCGTGAAGGGCTTCCCACTTCAAAATCTCCTTCCAAGCCTGCTCGTTATTCTGATTGTGAATGCGAATGATATTGTACATGTCTTTCTGACTAATATCCTCACTTTTCCACTTCCACCTAGGAAGGAACATTTGGTAACATTTTACAAGTATAAAGCAAAACCCAAACTTGCCACTGCCATCGAGTCAGTTCTGACTCATAGCAACCCTACAGGACAGAGCAGAACTGTTGTCTAGGAGCTCCAAGGCTGTAATCTTTATGGAAGCAGACGCCCTCATCTTTCCCCTGCAGAGCAGCTGGTGGGTGTGAGTATCAGAGACAGTGCCATAAAGTTAATCCACGGGTTCACGGATGATTTATTAACGGCTATCCTTTCTGAAACAATGAGGACTGCTCACTGCCCAGCAAGTTAATGGACCTAAGCCTCATTCGGAAGATTGCCTCGTAACTGCAGAGCAGTACTAGCAATCCTGATGTACTGGAGAGGCCCCGGAAACAAAGGGGAAAAGTTTCCGGTAATCGCTTTTATGGAGCCACCAAAAGCCAGAGTTCCACAAAGACTGTGGCATCTTCTATTTTGGGTGATGCTTTTTCAGTTTGTATCACCAGCCAGCGATCCCTCAATTTTTTCTAAGCGTTTCCTATGACGGTGGGGTTTTTCAGTTTGTTTGCCCATAACGATCCCTGACCTTGTGTGTGTATTTTCATAGGTCTGGAAAAGTAGCTGATTTTTAGAAACTGACTAACTTACAAATACTGACTGGACGTTTGGGGGATCAAAAGTCTCTTGACACTTAATCCTTCCATGAAGCAGCTGAGCAAGTCACTACCATACACAGCAGGTGCCCCCACTTACCCCTTCTTTAACATCGCGTTCCAAAACATCTGCTCGGACGGGTACACCCACTTTTTCTCGGAGTCTGCTCTCGGGATGGAGGACTCCTCCCTGGCAGTCGACAGAGGAAAGGGCTGGTCGGGGGCTGGCATCTGATTAGGTGGTGGCATCTACAGCCAATGAGCAGAGGGTGTGATGTTGGAAACAGGACCAAGAGTAAAAACAAGCAGTATACTTAATTACTTCCGGAAAGGAATGCGCTGCACATGAGGCCCAGGGGCCCTATGAAACCAGCGGCATCAAAGTACCAGACCTCTCAGAGAACTGGGCTGTTCTGAAGAGTCGACGTATTGAAGTGCTTTTTCCCCTTTGAGTATGTTCTCATAAACGAGAAACAGTGCAATTGCATGTTTTGACTTTTTCTCCTTTGAACAAATTGAAAACCAGTGTCAAACGGTGCCTAATTCTCCAGGTTTCCTGGATTCTCTTGCTAAGCCTGAGGCCCTCTAACGAGCAGGCTCAAATCCATCTGTCTCGCCATTGAAATGGGATTCCAAATACGCAACCCTATGCTGTGAGACCACCACAAAATATGGACAGGCCACAACCCGTCTTGTCGTTGCTCTCGGATGGCACTGCAGTTGCTGGCAGTCACGTGACACCCACCCCTGCCTGAAGAAGCATGCCATCTTGGAGTGTGCCCACAAGGTTTTCCCAGGACCAGAACCACATTTGCTAACTCTCACTACAGTCCTAGGACTCCCCGGCCCTATCACCTATTTGTTTGGTATGGCCTGCTTCCGGTAAACCTATTCTGGCTTTTACTAAGCAGTTTTCTTTCTCAGGTGTTCTCCGAAACTAGAAGGAACAGCCCTTGTCTCTGTTTTAAAAGGACTGGAGAATCAGTCCTAACACCTGTGAGCTGTCTCGGAGTTCATCAAAACAGCTCAGCACAGGTTCCTGGGACATGGGGGCGAGCAGGCATTACCAGATTGGAGGGATCGAGGTTCTCCTTGTTCACCGGCGCTGCGGCCTTCACAGGGCATTCCACATACTCGTACGCACGCTCCTGGTGGGCGGGCACAGGGTATGGCTTGCTCTCACGGATGGCATCTGACGGTGCTGTGCTCACTGGGCAACCTGAAGAAAATAATCAAGTATAAACATGGGGTCCCCACAAAGGCAGGACAGCTTCCCTCTCTCCAGAGGGGCCCCCCTGAGGCGCTTCGATTGTGACCAATGATGAGCAGCAGAGGAAAAGCCAGGTTTCTGTCATTTAAAGCTATTAGGAGCTAAGCTGTCTAAGAGCCCAAAGCCCTAAAGGTGCAAGGTTTTGTAAATTTCCTGTGCCTCTGGAGATGAAATGGAGACCTCTCCTGCTGGGCCATGCCTCCACAAACAGAGCAAACAGAAAACCTCCTCAGCTGCAAGTGTCCTGTCCAGGCTGTGGCTGCAATGTCTGGCTGGAAGGTACCCAGCTTGGACTGCAGGGTGAGCTGTTGCTGAAGACCTGAGTGGGGGCTGGGTCACATTTAACCCGATGTCCTCAACTGGCCATTACAAATTGCAGACAAGCTCCTGCCCAGTCAGGGTAGAGTGTAGGCCAGGCGTTCCGTACTGACCATGTCAGGTACTGCGCCAGGGAGGCAAACGCACACAGCAGCCTTCAAAGAGGCTGACCTGCTGCTGTGGAGTGTGCTCTGACTCACGGCGTGCCATCGTGTGACAGAGTGGAAGTGTGCTCTGTAGGCTTGGCAATGGCTGCGTTTTCGGAAGTAAATTGCCCGGCCTTCTGAAGTGCCTCTGGGTGGACAGCCAAGCACATTAACCGTCCGCACCAGTCACGGGTGGACAATCAGAGATCAGAGCGGCACTTTGCTTACACCTTCTTCCCGGAGCGAAAGCAGGGCCAGCACATAGTCTGTGCCTGTGTGACTCCCCAGGGCTGTAGCTATGGTTTAGCAAGGAGAGGCAGACACCAAGGACTCCTCTGAAGCGGGAAGGTCTGAGGCCAGAGGATCAGCAGCAGGAAGGACTATCAGGGTCCGATGACCCAGGCTGCAGGTCCACACGAGTGCAGGGACCGAGGAACTGCTCTGTTAGGAGTGGGTAGCCAAGCACCCGATGACTTACCGCCTAGGAGAGGGTTGGCGTGTGTCACACTCCCTGTCTTAGGCAGTGACCAGCAGCTACCACAGACATGGCAATGCTGGGTGCTGAACATGGTCCCTTTCCTGTGCTTCTCCTTCCAGCCCTCATCCCCTAGTATCTCATGCTGCTGCCCACTTTAGGGGGTCAAGGGAGACTTGCAGCCCTCCCCTCTCTACCAAGCAAAGCTCCAACCCTTTCCAGGTAGCTGCTCTGGTGCCTTAGTGCCTAAGGCATTTGACTGCTAACCAGAAGGCTGGAGGTTCAAACCCACCAGCCACTCCTCAGAAGGAAGGTTGGGCAATCTACTTCCATAGTGATACCGTCTCAAAAACCCAAGGAGGGGTCGCTACGAGTTGGATCCTACTCGATAGCAGTGAGTTTGGTTTGATCCTAGCTGGGTTTTAGAAAGAAAAGAATGTAGTTAAATTGTTCACGTTATATAAGCACTAGTCCCCGGACACCCCTCCAAATACACCCATTCTTTACTAATGCAAGTGAACCTTGAGAGGGGCTCTTGGGGATTCACACAAATGAAATAAGCCAGCAGAAAGCTCAATGGTCTCCCTAGGGACGCTCCAGCAGGAGCACGCATGCCGTCAGAATCTACTGCATTCATCCTTGTCCAGGGTCACATCATCTTGCCAGCTTTGCCACTTACCAGCTGTGTGATGTGGAGAATATTACGAATGTCAGTTACTCCACAGTTTAGTTTGCTTGACTGTAAAACTGGGAGAAAAGCTATCCCACAGGATTCCATGCACTAGATTATCAGCTCCATTAGGAAAAGGATTTTGGTCTGTTTTGTACCCTGCTATTCTCTCAGTGAGGAGCCCTGATGGCAGTGTCAGATTATCCAATAAGCAAGGTAAGCACGGGCTCACTTGTGCTTACTTACTAATCTGTCATGAACAGCTTCACATTTTCACTACATCAGATTCTGCTTCTAGGTATGGCTGGCATCTGTCCAGTGTCAGATTACCCAGTAAGCAAGGTAAGCACAGGCTTACTTATACTTATGTACTATCTGTAGTGAACAATTTCACATGGATTTCACCACGAAACTGTTCACTACAGATTGGCAAATAAGTACAAGTAAGCCCATGCTTACCTTGCTCACTGTGTAAATCTGCCCCTACTTGGTTAAAGCATTAGGCTGCTAACCAAAAGGTCAGTAGTTTGAACCCACTAGCCGCTCCTCAGGAGAAAGATGCAGGAGTCTGCTTCTGTAAAGATTTATAGTCTTGGAAGCCCTGTGGGGGCAGTTCTACTCTCTTATAGGGTTGCTATGAGTCAGAACTGACTCAATGGCAATGGGTTTGGATCTCTCAGTACTAACAAACCAACCCCACCAGTGCTTGGCAGCGTCAGCAGCGAGTCAATCTTTGCTGACTGAGTGGCGGCATGAACGACCACCACACTAGGGAAACAGTTCTCTGGAAGCACTCCACGTTGGTTCCTCTGTCCCCTCACGGGTGAAAACAGGGAGTCTTAGGTCAGATGACTCCAGACACACTTGTCTACAGTCTGAAGCAGATATGGACCAATTAAAAACCAAAGACAGCTTTTCTGTTTTACCTTGCACATAAAGAACAGGCTGTGAGTCCGCCAAGTGCAGACTTGCTTTTACGTCCATCAACACTGCAGTGTCCTGGGAGGGAAGTGTTAAGACAGCTACATCTATACCCAGGTTCCTCAAGCTGGGCACTAGCAACGTTAAAAAAAAAACTCATTGTCGTCAAGTTGGGTCCGACTCACAGCGACCCCTCCTTGAGTTTCCAAGGCAGTATCGCTACAGAAGTAGATTGTCCAACCTTCCTTCCGAGGAGTCAAACCCACCAGCCTTCTGGTTAGCAGTCAGATGCCTGAGGCACTATGTGACCTGAATAATTCTTTATTGTGAACGGCTGTCCTGTGCACTGTAGAATGTTGTGCAGCCTCCTTGACCCACAAAATGCCAGGAGCATCATCTCCTCTATCTGTGACAACCAAATGTGCCTCCAGACAATGCCAAATGTCCCCTGGGGGACACAAATGCCCCCAGCTTATGGAGACCCATATAAACTTCGGAGTGGAGTTGATTTATAGGACAATCACTAAGTGTCAAGCACTGTCCAAAAACCTTTTTGTGCATTATCTCAATGAATCCTCACAACAACTTTAAAATATCATCCCAGTCTCCCCACCTTATGGAGGGTGGACAGAGACCTAACAGAAGTAACTTGTCTAAAGTTGCACACCTTACGAAGGGCAAAACAAGGCCCAAGCCCAGCATGACTCACACCCAGGCCCAGGCGCTTCACCGGCACGCTATACTGTCTCTTCTTGAAAATCCTTTGGAGAATTTGCTTTTGTGTTTTGTTTTCTAGACAGAATTGATTACCTCTCATTTTCCCTTCATGCATCGGGCATCCTGAAGGTGAGGATGGTGTCTGATGATCTGAAGCACTGGAGGTGTGAACTGCAACAGCAGGAGTAGATGCAGACAAACCCATGGCTGGAATCACAGTGCCAACTCCAAACAATCCTGAATACACAGCATCAAAGCAAAGAGATTACTGCTGATGCCTCGCTGCGTCTAGACGTCTCCCTTGTTATTCTTAATCTGGCCCAACCATGTTCTTCCTACCTGGCATCCTTAAGGGAAACTACCCGCAGGCTACCCACCTGGAGGGATCCCTTTGACTATATTCCCCCCTTTGGGGAATCCTAGTGTGAGATCTATGCCACCCTTGCGGGGCACGTTTCTAAGGGTGTGCCTGTTTGGGGG